TGTGAACTTGTATGGCGAATAAAGATGCTCTTCCTCTTCTGTAAATAAGACTGTCGGCTCACCAATAGTAGTCCTTCAATTACTATCTTCAATTAATATTTTTGTTGTGTGATTTCCTTACAGAATACAATAGGATTCTATCAATAGTATAAATAGAGCATTCGGGTCTTTTGAAAAATGGGACTTAATGAAAAATGGGTCATTTGACAACACTAATGCAATTGTATATGATTCGTGGAGTTCCTCTGATGAGTTATCTATTGAGAAACCAATGGAGAACCCGACTGGTCTTAATCTGTACGTGGAATTACGGAGATCGTTCAATGCTAATTTGGCATAAAAAGAGATGGCTATTATTGTAAGTGAAAACCCAACAGTGCACGACTGTTTACATTTCATGTAGGTAAGAAACAAAGGCCTATAAACTATGCTTTCACAAAATCTCATCAATGAAGGTTTTATACAGGAATTATAGAAGTATTAGAAACCTTGAGTCTCAACGTACGTTTTACACTTTGTGTATGACACACGGTTGATATTCTTTGTTTTTGGGAACCCAAAGTCAAATTGAGCAATACTCCTGATGCTTGCGTTCCATTGATTTTTGACTGATTGCTATTAATTCGAGGGATAACGTGATCCTTATATTTGGCTGTTTGTTACAGATTCTTTACATGTGGTTAATTTTTTATTAGTACATAAACAAAACAATTTATTGTGATTGAATTCTCGTTTCTTCATAGGCACTTGCAGTTTGCTACTGGTCAACCACAATGTGTTGTGGGTGATTTCAAAGTGATGAGGGTCCAGGAAAAATCAGGTTCCTACATGTTGAGGCTAGCTATGAAGGATTTTCAGGAATTTAGCAGTTTGGGTAAATTAAACATGACGGGGTTTTGTATGATTGGTCAAATGGCAGAATAAGGGGGCATGTTTAATGTTGACTCGACAGGGCACTCTTTCTGACATATAAGTGACAATCACTACAACATATCAATTCATGTATAGCTTGCCAAGAATGCTATCTGTCATGTTCAATTACATTTTTCGGAATGCTATTATAAGTGATGTTATTAAAAGTCGTACCTCTATTATAACTTTTTTGAATGCTATTATAATGTGATATAAAAAAAATTATAATAGCATTATGTTATCGTCATGGTTTTAGTGTTTATAGCATTCTTTTCGTGTAATCTTTCCTAATTTGATAGCAACTTTTTTCCATTATAATTTTGGATTTAATAACATTGTTCAATCATCATGGTTACATCTAAAATAGCATTCTTTTTCCATCACAATTTGTTAATATTTTATAGCATTTATTGAATATAATATATCAATTACAATAGCATTTTTGATTGTAGTGTATACATATTAATTATATTCCTAATTCGTAAATTGTCAAATGTAAATATTCAATAGCTTTATTTTTGAACTAAAAATATGAAAAATAATAACCAGATCATTAATAAATTCAAAACATACATCAACATTATCTAGTAGAAATACACAAGTGTAGTTGTTCAATAGAGAAATCAAACTACATTCCTCCACATCAAATACTAATAGAAATATATGCTTGAAAATGCAATAAACAAAATTAAATTTGAATCATCTCGTTCTAGTTCTTCAAAAGAAAATTTATTGAACTCTCGCAATTTGTTTGGAGAAGACATCTATCAAATCAATGATACATTTAAATTTGAAAACTAATAAAGTGATACAAATTAATAGATTGTAAAAATAATGCAAAGTAAAAAAATTCAAAAACTATTTACTAAATTCCGTGAAATAAAAAAGTATATCTTAGAGGAACTTACATGTTTTTTCAATAATTCCGTACAATAAAAATGTATTATCATTTCTTTTTTTTCCTTTGTTAATTTACTTTTATTCATTATTATTGTTATTATTATTTAAAAATGAACATACAAACCTATTCTAATGAATATATCATAACTAATGCAAAAGAATAAGAAAATAATTTAAAATTGGGTTGCCTCCCAATAAGTGCTTGTTTATAGTCCTAGGTCAACTTTTAGTAACAATGTTTACGTAGAACTTTGAATATGAATTTGGAGCATTTGCTTAGTTTGCTAGGTTGATTTTGCACTATGTTTAGTATTCTTCGAAATCTTGACTTCACTCGTAAAAAAGTATGATTTGTCTATATCACCCGACTTGAACCCAATGGGTACATCAATTTCTTCATCGACGTTAATTTCAAAATCAACTGGCAAATAATGAAGTTGGAGGATTGCATGATAATTCAAACTTTATTGCATGCCAATTCTTCAATTTCCTCCTCGTTCTCTATATGCAATTCTTCTTCAGTTGTTTTCTCGAGTTGAATGATCCACCTATTATGCGAATCTCAAAAACATGCACAGGAAAGATTTCATACGAAGTCTCTCTTTCCTGCTGAGAGTTATTAGTAATATCACTATATTGGGTGATTTCGTTTGGGTTTGGAAAGAACAAAGAGGCATGTTTTGATTAAAGAAGGGAGAGGCGTGTTTAGGACTACACGATTTCATGACGTGTTGTCCATGTTGGCATCTCAATTAAATCGTGGACGGGATTAATTGCCATGTATGATTACCGTTATCCACTTAAGAGAAAAGTGAACCGAAATACACCGGTGAGTGATAGAGTGCAAAAACATAAAGCTGAACGGCCATTGGGATGCATTGTGAAGTTCGTGAGTAAGCCCTAGCAATGGCCAAAGTTCGGTGGGTGTTGAAATATTTAACTCGGACAGAAGAGGGATATATGTTTAAGAAAAGGTGGAGATGAGAAATTTTAAGGGGGAATTTGAAATTTTCATTGTTAACTGAGAGGGAAATCCAAATCACGATAAAAATTGGTCAATTAAAACTTTCTTTTAATTTTAGAACTAATTAAACTAATTATATAATAATCAATTATTTTCATTCATTTGAATAAACGAATTATATCACTTTCATTTATAATCACTCTTGAACACACTTTAAGCGTTGTTTCCCCCACTAACCCTTCTTGAGGTGCTATGTGGAGCCTCAATCATAATTAAATGCTATCGTGCTAGATATTGGATGCTATTGTTAATTCATATTTTTTTGAAAAATGTTATGGGTAGAATGAAAACTAACAGAAATTCGGTTTCGAGTTCGATTCCAGTAATTACGTGGATTCAAGTGGTTCCATTTATGAAATAATCAAAGTGTAATGGGTGGTTCTAGTATTGAAATATCCGTACTGAACTACCCTACACCCAAGTCTATCCAAAATATTTGGCACTAATAACTGTTGGGTTTTGATACCCAATAAATCTCGGGCAATGATATCCAACAGTTTGTATTATATTTCATAGGCCTTGACGATGAGTGAAATAGTTATTAACGCAATCAATTTATGGGCTCAACTCGAAAACAACTCGGGCCATTGGAAGCAACTTTATTAGTTAATGTTGCACATGGCCACTATAACTCTTGGATGGTCATTTTAATGTGATGGGTCAATTATCTTTGTGTTGGCCTATTTTTTGGATAATATTAGCCCAAGTCATGGTAACCTAAACTAAACTCTATATACCCACTTCCATACCATTGCAAACGTGTGTACGCTTTGTGAATTTTCGAGAGAAAACTGTTGTTGCTTCCTATCTTCTTCTCCCTGCCTTTTTTCTCTATTGCTTTCTCTTTGCCTTTGCTGCTTTGCAAACACCACCATACTCGTGTTCCTTGTGGGTATATTAGAAGTGGCAACCAAAGTGATAGGAGTAGTTGTGGGTTGAAGTCAATTATTTGATTGTGGTTAGATATTGGTAAGTTTGAACTCAACCCGGATTCCACCAATTGAATGTCTCCACAATAACATTGAATCTGTTACCAAGTAAATTAAATAATTAAATTGGACATTTGACTAAACATATATGCATGCAGGGTCTCAATAAAATATTTAATTTAATTAACGATCTTAGCCCCCATTTGGGCCACATTATTCAAAAATTCTCTTTTTTTTTTCAAACTCATTTTCAACCACACATTCTCTCAATAAAATAATTTGCACATAAATTCAAAACTTTTTCATACTTTTTAACCACGAATTCTCTAAAAAAAACACCATTACAAAACTCTTTTTTTTTGGTGAAAATGGGGCTCAAACAAGGGCTTAGTTATGCACAGGTGGATTTCTACAATGGGGAATAATGGAGCAACCACAAACTAGAAGAAAGAATTGTTAAACAATAGAAGTGGCACCGGTGGTGCTAGCAGTAGACCCTCAAAAGGTTAAGTCGGCGACATTCAGCGAAAGTATGTAGAGCATGCTTAAGAGAAAGTGAATTCAGATATAGTGTTTGAGCATACCACGAACTCTAAATGATTGTGGTATTTCATAGGAGAATGTTTGTAGTCAGCTTAAGATTATGGTAGCAAGGTTCCTACAATATCTGCTTGTGGCTGGAGAATGAAGTCTATTAAGCAAATGTATTCATATTTACCATCATTTTTTTTCATTTGATTTTTTGTAATTACCTATGGAATCACCCATTGGAAAATCCATGGAAAAATTATTAATTTATTTTTATCAACGAATCACCTAAGGAATTTTATCGATTGAATTATTTCGTGGGTAAATCCAACAATAAGTTAATTTTCTCATTTAAATTACGTGGGTAAAAATGACATAAGTCTACCCTAGCTGAATAATAATTATTTTGATCGATAAATGTCGTGGTGCCATATCCCATGCCAAAAATAAGATATTCACTGACTCCTTTTATCTTGTCGGCAAATATGTCTTGTCTAGGCTGACGAATAATTATTTTTGCAAGTAAAAGTTGTATTCAGTGTCTGAGTTTTGGTGAATCGGGAAAAACTAGTCGGCAAAGATGATTTTCATCAACAATTTTTTTATTGGGTCGGGAAAAGTGGTCGGCAAAGATTTGGTCAACTAAATATTTTTACTAGTCGATTAAAGAGCATTTGTACCGATTATTTTTTGTTGGTCATGAAAATATGGTCGGGAAAAGCCATAGAAACACCTTATTATCCGCTCTAGATATCAATAGAGCGAATTTCAGGTTGAACAATGAAGCTTTAATTGGGAATCCAATTGAAACCCAACTGGACATTGTTTTGTCAAAGGAAGGTGCATTTATTGTATACAAAAAAAGATTCTGTAATTCATTAATTATTCAGTGTTCAGATCCTATAAATTCATTCTCTTACCCACAAACACCTGGTTGAACCCTAATACATTTTCTCCAGTTTATTTTTTGTGGAGGTGATTCCCATTGAGGGAGGAAGGAGAAGCCTTCATCCTTGAGAGAATTTTCAGTAAAGTAAGCCTGAATTTCCCTTTATTTACATAATTATGCATAAGATAATCTTGTTTTAACCTTCATTGCTGTTTTCTTGTTGTGAACCTGTCATTTTAAGGTCAATTACTCTTTACCAATTCCCTGTTCTCATACCTAATTGATTTTGTTTTGCTGTTGATTTTACCCATTTTAATCTTCTTTCAATTTTTTTCTGCAATCTGCCTTCAATTTCTGTGATTTTCTCAAGTAGGCTGATATAAAGAAATGTGAAATTCAAGTAGCAATGTTGCATGTTTATTTTTCAAAAGAAAAAGACTTTAGATTTTTGCTATGAATTTTTAACATCTATTTTTGGAATCTCGTCCATTTTAAAGAAAAATAATGGTTGTCTGTTGAACCACCCCTGTACTTGTGCGGAGGTAAGATTTAATTCCAAATCTTTTTCCTAATACTACAATAAACCACCTCTTCTAAAACCCCATGTTTTTAGGGAAAATGGCTTTTATTGATTTGGATTTATTCCAAGACAAAAAAAAAAATTGTTTATAAGGAAATCTTCTTCTGATCTATGATTTGGACAAAAAAAGAGATTTTTTTTCTCTTTTTATTTTTCTTTTTAACCTTCTCCTTCCCTCTCCATGTAGACGTAGTACACAAAGAAGTTTTTGACAATCTCTCCTTTGTAGGAGATAAATCCTGATAAACTTGCATTAAAAACTTACTTACCTTGGTGGGTAATGTATGGTGATGGAATCGGTTCACAAAAGGGACACTAATTGATATCGCGGAATAATTGGATCTGACATGAAGTGAATTATTTGAATGAAAAACCAGATTGTACAGTAGAATGTAATAAATATTAAAACAATAATAACAAGTATCATAACTACTTAGATATTCATTAATTGAAATAACGGCGTAGACGATCATAAATATAATTAACTACACGACAACAAAATAGCCATAAATGTTGTGCACAACATCACACCTTTTTACTCTCAGTTGTAATATATAATAGAAATATCCAGAAATTTCATCAAGAATTAATGGAACTAAATCATTAAGTACAAAGTATTGTAAAAATGAGATGTCCATGAAGGGCAAGGGAAAATTTACCTGGAGTTTCAGGAGAGGGTCTAAGATGGTTGGGTGGGACTATTGATGTACGGGGAACAACCATGGATGAGGGAGCATCAGGAAGGGATGAAGTCGATATTTTTCCTTTCCTTTTCGCTTCTCTCTTTTCCTTTCATTCTCAGTCCATTCCCTTGGTGTTGTACTTTTTTTACATAAGATTTTCTTTGCAATGTCAACAGCTTGAAAACCAGTGAGGGGAAATTGCTATAAACTTGAAAGTTTCATGACCTATGCACTAAACGGAAAAAGTTGAAAATTCACTTATTATACAGATATAGTCAAAAATTCCAATAACATTGCTTACATAACTGGAGACAACCATAGTTTATAACAAGGTAGTAAATAATCATGGATTGAAATAACTGCATGACATGAAACTAATGTATTTGCTACTTATTAAAACTTGACACTTTAAAGACTCAATTAAAACCAGTAAGACTGGAGATGAGTAAATTAAGAAATATAAAGAAGGGTGCTCTCATAAAAAATTGGTAGGAACTTAGTCTGGAATTCATAAATTTCAACACGATATATCATACCTGTATAGACTGCAATCAAGTTACAATCAAGTTATTTTTTTTTTTCTGACTCAATTTAATACTCTAGAACGGGAATAATTTTAAATAATTTATGTCTATAATTTTAGGACTGTGAATTGAAGTTCTTAGACTTATAGATAATTCACTCATGTCAACCAAATAAACTGACTCCTATTATCTTAAAAATAGTAGCTTCGTTTCATCAAAAGAGAAGGAAATTTAATGTGTGGATCGGACATAGAAAAGAATCTCCAGCCCCTGCAAGATTAGGCCATATGAAATGACGATTTCTTATCTTTCTCTCCTTGTTCCTTCTCCATTTAAAAGCATCAACGAGGAAGGTTCTAACAATCTCTTTTTCCTAGGTAGAAAAATCCTAATAGACTTGCACTTATGCACTGAGTAACATACATTGATGGGTGGGACACCGAAAAAGATACGAATTGAGAAAGGAGTATAATTTGATATATTATGAAGTCAAATTTGTAAATAAATACAATGTAAAAAGGGAAAGTACCTGAAGATGGAGGAGAGGGGTTCAGACAGTTGGGTGGGAAAAGGGAACGTACTGATGTTGGGGGAAGCAACCGTGGATGGGGATGAGGGAGCTATTGGGGTGGGATGAATTTGTATTATTAAAGCAATAGATAGGCTACAAAGCTTTGCAATTCAGTTTGGGATAGTATCAGGTCTCATGTTCACTGTCACTAGAATTCCCCTAGAGATCTCATCTCATTATGAGAGTAAAAAGGCACTCTTTTTTTGAAAAATGTAGACTATTCCCAGAAGAGAGATTAGTGCATCCCAACAAGGTTGAACCAACAACTTGTTGGAAAAAATTGAGTTAGTAGGTGACTTTGGCATGAATTTTCAGCGAGACCCATTTGGCTATTTTGGAACATGAAAGTTGATTTGTGTTCTCCTCCGTGAGTACATCGAAATCATATACTTACTTGTCAAAAATGA